ACAACCGGTACTTATTTTTTCAAATATCTCCATGATATTTGTGTTGTTCAAGATTTAGGAAACATTAAAATATGTTGTCTTGGTATGGGAGGTACAGATTCCGATCACAAAATGCTTAGAATATAACTATATTATTAATTTAATTTTTAATAGAATTGTTCTATTAAAAAATAAAAATAACATATTTAATTGCAAAATGTATTAAAAAGAAATTTAAAAAATTAATTTAAAAATTAAAAATATTATAAATAATAAAATAATGGAAACAACTATAAACGGTTTTAATAAATTACAAAAAAATGAAATGCAAAAAGAAATAGAAAAATCAATATTAAATAATGAAATCTTTGTTAAATTTCGTAAATATGAATACTATAAAAATAATAATATTAAAATAATGAAATATAATCTAAATAAAATTCCAATTAAAGGAAATATTTTAATTGTCGATTATTGTCTCAATATTTGTGGAGATGGAAATGGAAAGCCTTATGCTTCTAAAATACTAGAATCGCCAACATGGCTTGAAATTTGTAAAATAGCTAATGATTTAATAATTACAACCGGTAAATTTTCAGAAAAATATCTCTATGATATTATTGTTCATCAAGATTTAGGAAATATTAAAATATGTATTTTTTAGAATTTTTTGCATTTCAATTTCTATGAAAATTATTTTTAGTATTTTTGCATTTCAGATTTTTTGAAAAATATTTTAATAATTATTGCGTTTCACGATTTGCAAAATAATTAAAGGAATATTGCATTTCAATTTCTATGAAAAAATATTTTAGGAAATATTGCGTTTCAATTTCTATGAAAAAATATTTTAATAATTATTGCGTTTCACGATTTGCAAAATAATTTAATAATTATTGCGTTTCACGATTTGCAAAATAATTAAAGGAATTTTGCATTTAAAATGAAAGTGTACCATAGTGACCCCTATACTACTTATATATATATATATATATATATATATATCCACAATCAAATGGGAATACTTACATCTTCGTTTGACGAGCTTTCTCCAGTAACATTGGTATATGAAGACATATTTTTTACCTTAAATAAAAATTGTTGAGTTAAAATTTTTAATATTCTAGTTTTTTTAAAACTTATACCAGATCAAAGTATATTATTTGTTATGTAGTCTTGTAACGGTGTGAAGCAAAGACGCATCAAGTCCAATAGTTAATTTTGAGATTTAACATTGTCTATAATCAATGTATGTCGACTGTATACAATCTAATAAGACTGTGTGAGTGTGTAAAGTGATCATCGGTTTATGTATTATTGTCAGATAATTAGGAATAAATAAAATAAATGCAGTGTAGGTACTCATTTTGTTTTAGGTTTTCCACATTAAATTGCACATAGAGGTTGCATGATCAGATTACCTATGCTAACTTTAAATAACTTTTTATAATTAAAAAAAAAATATATCTGTTTGCAGTTTATAATCAGTCTAATATTATGATTTGGTGTAATATCGCATGATTATTTTATTTTCAGGTAAACTGGTAATTAGATATAAATAAAATAAATGCTGCGTACTCATTTTGTTTTAGGCTTTCTACATTTAATTGAACATAAAGGTCGTTTGATCTGATTACCTATGATAATTTATAATTTTAAATCCTTTTACATATAAGTAGTGAAAAAAAAAAAAAGATGTCAATTTGCAGTTTATAATTAGTCTAATATTATGATGCGAATATCCCATGATTATTTTATTTTCAGGTAAACAGAAGGGACTATTTTCAGGTATAAAACACAGAATTTCTTAGCTTATCTCCATCAGTTCAAGCAACAGCAATCCACAGCAGTTCCAAGAGTAGTCAGCAGCAAAACAGCCTTCTTCGTCAACCAACAGTCAGCTAACAGATTACCAGACCTCTTTAACAAATAGCAACCAGTCAAAACAACTCTAACAAGCCATCATACTTAGAAAAAATACTTTAATTTCCACAAGCTATGTAAGTACTATTTTTATATTGTTATTTATTAAATTTTACATCTAAACTTCTTTTTTAAAATAAAAAAAAATAAATAAAATAGAATAATAACAATAATATCAATGTATCGTTGAAATGATAATATAGCTTTATAATATTACTATGAACGTTATATCATGTAGGCATGACTTTAGATAGAAATTCTATCTAAAACCGTGCTTACAAACTTAAAGATATTTCATCAGATTATATAAAATAAAAACCATTAGAATAAAAGTAGTGGTTTAAAAACGATTTCTCAACTCTGACTTTTAGTTATTTCTACATAAGCTGTTTTCTTTTTTTTTGTTAAGTTATGTTTCAATAAAATAAATAATACGTTATAATTATGCGACTATCCGCGGTATTGAAATTAGAAAGCTGTTGTATCATAGATTTATATAGATAAGATAAAACATCGGGCTTATCAACTATGGATAAAGTGTTAAAATTTTTTGAGGTTTCAAGGGTTCCTTATTATTGATAATTATTGTAACTTAACCACAAAATCTGACAGCACTAGTACACACTGGTCGATACCGTGTGGTCAATTATGTGATTCAGTGTTCACGTATAGTGTGTACTAGCAGGGTATAGACACTCTGTGTATTGGCAAAATCGGGTGACCGTGGCCTTGAGCACGGTCTCTAAGGGGGCGTGGCATATGTTATCATTTAAATAAATCATATCAATATTATCAGTCCACAGAATAATAATACAATATATTATTTCATTAACAATAAACCAATGTAAAATTACATTATAGTTTTTAATTTATATTAAAACAAAATCATTATTCATTTTACCAAAATTTAATATTGATTTACTTAAAATATGAAAATTCATATAAAATCGTTTATAAAAGTTCCGTTACAAAGAGGGATACACGTTGCTAACGTTCTATCAGATTACGGATACGGTACAACTTTTATAGTCCAATACATCATACCGTAGGGATACGTAAACCCTCACAGCTGATCGAGTGTCTATTCTATATTGTTCTGTGGTACTAGTACAGTCAGATGGGAAAAACGCTATTACGGTTATCTATACCTAGTTTTATCAACGTTAAAATACTTTCGCTCAATTATAAATATTTGTTATTGATAGTGTGATAGTTGTATTATACGTGTAATATTATTTTACGTAAAAATTTTTTAATTTAAATAAAAAATATTCAATAATGTTTACTGTCTGTATAAAAAAATATATAATATCCTAAAACGTAGGTATATAATATATAAATTTAAATTATTTTTGTTGCTTTTACATCTAGTAATGTGGCTTCACTAGTAATTAAAAGTATGTTTCTATGACATAAATGCTATATTGTTTAGTTTGTTAAAGTTTTTGAAGTGAAAACTTCTTTAGGCACGTTGGGCACCCCGTATAAAAAAGCATTTGCGAGTGAGGAAAAAAGTATGATCTTTCGACACAGCCACCGCTAGTATATGAATCGCTAAATGCAGAAAGGGCACATGTCCAATATTTTACAAAAATCACTTTATTGCATAATCGAATTTAATATTGATAAATAAATGGTTTTGTGCAGACAAGGCACATGATGTCCTATTAAATAGATCCCCGTTAAAAATAATTTAAAATTTCGTTAATTGCAGAAAAGCCACATGTCCTGGACATGTAACCTTTTTGCATCAAAATTGTACTTTAATAATATTATCCAACCTAATCTTCGTGAAATCTATTTATTGTATGAAATGTAATATTTTTCTATTTATAAATTTAATTTTGTACAATTGTTTATCAGTAAATAAAGATTATAATGGTGAAAACGTTGCTATACCTACTTATAAAATAAAATGATTATCAGTGAATAAAATAATATTGTACTGGTTGAAATTATCTGTCAATACTTTTGGTATTCATAATTTAAACACGAATAATTGATTTTGTTATGTTCATCATGAGGCAACAGCAAGAAAAACACCAATTGATGTATGCTCTTTTTTGGTTCACTATATTAATAGTTTTGTTGACGATGATGTTGAGGAATTGCATTTGTTTTGTGACAATTGTGCTGGGCAAAACAAAAACCACGCATTACTCAGAATGATTATGGCTCTAGTTGAAATTAAAAAATTCAAAAAAGTTCAGGTGTTTTTTCCACAAAGAGGACACTCGTTTTTGCCGTGTGATCGTGACTTTGCATTGATAAAAAAACAACTGAACAGAGTGGATCGTCTATACACTTTAGAAGACTATATAGAACTTATTTTAAAATCATCAAGAAATCCAGAAAAATTTTCAGTGTTTCTAGTTGATAAAAGTATGATTTATGACTATCATATATACATGTACTCTTCTAGTTTTCACTTCTACCGGCAGTCCCCAGACTGGTTAGGTTTATTTTTAAATTTATATTAGCATAACAATTATAGTGTAAATAATATATATTTTTTAAAAATTAACTTGATATTTACAATTTATAAAATAATATAACCATTTTAGTCAGCAATAAATTATTATAGTCAATGCTAGCTGATTTAATCTAAATATCTTTTTTTTTAAATTAGAAGGATGACTATTCCAAATGTTGTAGATCCGAATGTTCAGAAACCAATTATTTCATATGAAACTGTCCGATGTATGGCATCTTCATTTGCATATGATGAACAGGAAATATTTTTTTTTTTTTGTTTGCATGTGCTTTCCATGACGAACTGGGGGGGGGGGAACTTTGCCTTTCGGTAATCCTACCCCCAGGAGGCCGAAAGCCGTTTATTAAACAACGTACCAAACAACGTTGGACAGTGGTGGGGCCAATCTCCCACTCACTGGTCCTCACAATATTATTATTTACACAACAAAATTACTAATTACAAAATACTAATTATCTGGTGGAACCTGCTGACGTTGAACCCGTTGACGTTGACGTTCCTCTTAATCTCTTATTTTGAGGACGTTGACCACGTAACTGCACACTGCGTCCCATTTCTTCACCGCTGTTTCCGGAGTAAATTCTTTGTCCGTTTTCACTTCGAGTTATCTGCGTTGTCTCCACCACCAGTCACATTCAAAGAACGCGTGCTCAGTGCTATCAGTAGGGTCAAGGCAGTCGTGACATTCGGAGACGTCACGCTTCTTGAACCTCCACAAATATTCGCCGAAACACCCGTGTCCGGTCAGAAACTGGGTGATGTGGTAGTTCATTGTGCCAAACGACCTCGACACCCATGGTCTCACATCGGGAATGAGCCGCCGTATCCATCCTCCAGTACCGGTGTTTTGCACCCATTCAGTTTGCCACTTGTTCATAGAGTCCTCTCACAGCTCTCGCTTGGTCAGTAGAGTTAATCCCGCCTTCTTCGCCACGTGGACGGCATTTTTCTCCGATACCATGATGTGCAAAGGTAGCATACCTGCCACCACCATAATGACGTTTGTTGATACAGTCGTGTAGGCGCACGCCACTCTTTTAGACATCAGCCACTGCGGTTTCAACATCTTCTTTTTGTTGACATCAAAAACTAATGCAGACGCCCATATAGGTGATGCGTACAGCAGCTGGCTCTGCGCGACTGACATTAGTAATTGTCGTTTCTTTTGCCTTGGACCGCCGATGTTCGGCATTATCCTTGACAGCGAGGCAATTGTTGTTGTTGCCCTGGCCGCCACACACTTCAAGTGCTTTCCGAAGCCTAGTTTTTTGCACATCTCCACTCCTAGGTAGCGCACGTGCTCTTTTAGTTGCAGCATTTCACCTTCTAGGCTGCGTGTACCCGCGTTTGGTAGTAAGCATTATCGCTTCGGTCTTGCTCACTGACAACGTAAGACCTGTCTTCGCCATCCATCTTGCCACTGCGTCCAGAGATGGGTTCATGGACTCCTCCAGGAGAGCTGTTGTACGCCATGTCGCCACCATTGCGACATCCTCAGCAAAAGCTATGAGGCTAGAACTCGACATTCCTCGGATGTTACCTGGCATCGCGATGCGCAGCAAATCATCGTACATCACGATCCATAAGATTGGTCCGAGCACCGATCCTTGGGGCACCCCGCTGGTTACTGCACGCCGCGTCGTGTCCCCGTATAATATTGCCCTCTCGCTCAGGTAGCTTCTCAAGATGCACACCAGGTATTCAGGCACTTCCTTTTTTACCAAGGCATCTTCGATATTTGCCCATGGGGCCGAATTAAACGCGTTCGCCACGTCGAGGCATACCATGGCACACAGCTCCCTCTTGTAGTGTGGACCTGTTCCTGCTTTATTCACCACTTCCATTGCCTTTTCTATTGCGTCTATCGTGGAACGTCCTTTCACGAAGCCAAATTGGCGGTCGCTTATCCCGCTAGTCTCTTCTAGGTGAGCCTCCAGTCTCTTTTTAATTACTCTTTCGAGGAGTTTGCCGATGGTGTTGATCAAGCATATCGGCCGGTACGACGACGGCAATTCCAATGGTTTCTTACCCTTTGGTAATAGCACAAGCGTGGCTTCCTTCCATGGTTTCGGGAAGTGACCCTGTAACAGACACCTGTTGAGCGTGTCCAATATTAGCTCCGGTTTTTTCGATATTATCCTCTTTAAGATGATATCCGGGACTCCGTCCGGCCCCGGGGCCTTATTCGTAGGAAGTCTTGCACCAATCGACGCTAGTTCCGCGACAGTTATCAGGGGGACTTCCTCTGTCGGTCGCGCGACTGGCCAGATGGGGGCCTGATGCATCGGGAACAGAGTATCCACTATGCTTTCTAGTCATCCAGGTTTTGTTATCCCTGTAATGGGTCTCCGTCCTACAAGCTTATTTGTGGCCAGCTTGTAAGGAGTACCCCAAGGGTCGGTCTCTACCTGATTGCATAGTTCGCGCCAGCTGTTGTCTTTGCTCTTCTTGATTTCCGTCTTGAGGTTCCTCTTCAGAAGCCTAAACTCTTCGACACTTGTAGCGCAATCTTCGTGCCGTGCCCTAAATCTCCGCAGCTTCCTCCTTAGACGCATGCACTCCTTCCTGAGTTTGGCGATAGTCTGTGTCCACCAATAGCACGGTTTTTTCCCCCATTCGTAAGACGCTTTCGGCATACACCTATTGCACGCATCTGTCAGATGCATTCCAGATAATTCCAAAGAGCTGGTTGTTGCGCATGACGTCCGTGATTCCCTTGTCTCCGCAACGAACGAATCCAGTTGGTCCGTGTCCAATTTCCTCCATGACCATCAGCTCCTTCCGGGTTGAATAATCTTCTCCGTCTTTTTCAAGCTGTAGAACACATACTGATGGTCGCTCATTGACTCTTCCTCTAGCACCTCCCATGTTTTAAGTTTTCTGATGATGCCCGGTGTCGCAAAAGTTAGGTCTAGGAATGAGTTCCCGCGTGGGAAAGTCGGTGTCTTGCCGTCGTTAAGAATAACGAGATTTAGAGACTGCGCTGTATCCAGTAGAGCTTCCCCTCTCCGATCCCTTCTGCTCGAGCCAAAGACTTGGGAGTGCGCGTTGAAGTCTCCAGAGACAATTACTTCTGTCGTGGTTTCGCTGGCGCTACTGTGCAGTTGCTCTAAGAAGTCATCGAATTCCTCGGGTCTGCAATTCGGTGAGATATAACAGCTGTATACTCTTAGTGTCTCCAATTCAGGCCATGCAATACCTATGTCAGAGCCGGTTCTCAACACTTGTAGATTTGGTTGGAGATACAGGGCACATTTCCCATCAGTACGTCCTACCCATCCCGGGTGGTCAGGTATGCTGTTTGGTTCACTTATACACAGAACATCTGCTTCCTTCTCCTTAAGTGTGTGGAGGGCCAAAGCTTGGGCCACCCTGCTCCTATTTGTGTTTATTTGGAGAAAAACAGTCATATTACCGGGAAGATGGATATACACTCCTCGAGGCATTTTCCGACGATTTAGAGACTGACTCCTTCTCCAGTATTTTTCCGAAAGCCTCCGCTTCCGACACAACCGCATTGCAATCTTTTGCAAAGTGACTTTGGCTTCCTCACCGCTTGCACCATTTGCTCCTGTCGCGGCCGTCACAGTCCTTGGACGTATGTCCAAACGATAAGCAGCGGACACTTGTTCACACTCCGTCGGCTGGTCCCCGTCGCCTTATCATGGGGCAGTTCTTCCCCGGTGAAAAACAAAGCTCGGCCGGAATTCCCGTTTTCCACCCGGCGGCTTTGGGCGGCCGTGTTATTGCATAGGGAATGTGGAAAAACAACAAGTACTCACCATTCAGGTGTCGGACCTCGGAGATGTTGGTGTCCCCGAATTTGTCTCGATCAGCCGGACGCGAGAAGCTAGCGCGCGCGCGGGTGTCCGACTTCACGTTTGTCGATGAATCGACCGCAATCGGCGGGGGGAAAAACAGCACTTAGGACTGCGCGCCATGTGCCTAGGGCTGCTCGGTGATGTGGGTTATTTTAATCGGGTCAACTCGAAACCGACACCGACCCGAACGCGCACTTTTTAGCGGAAAAACGGAAGTACGCGTAACACGGTAGCGATTCGCACGTGTCTTACAGAAAATATGCAATATCTCGGCGAATATTCGAGCTATTTTCACGCGGTTCGTACCGGTCATACAAGATAAAACCGACAGAGATAGATATGATTCATATAATTCATTCCATTTATAATTCAGGTAAATATAATTACTATAAACATAGTTTTATTTCAGTAATTGTGTGGTTGACGGTTGCACCTGTAAAGCCGGTGACGGATACGTACACGTAACACCTTACGCGTCGGGCGTGTAATTACTTATGCGAAAGACCGGTAGATATCCCTGTAAGGAGGGGAGAGTGAGAGAGAGATAGTGGACTGTATAACTTTAAGGACATGAATATACGATAACTAACAACACTGAGTTTGATGGTATGACAATGTACAGAACAATATTTATTTTGACGTTCTGCAATTCAAATTTCTTACGAACTAGTGTTAGTAATAATACTGGTCATGGCACGATCACAACTCGATCGGCAAAACTACTATAATAATTCAATATAAAATAGTACACAAAAAAACGTATGAATCGCGTAATGCGAATAATAAATTTATACAATAGTAAACAAGGTAATCGTGTGTACGACCTGATAAGGTGGAGTTCGATGATAGCACGGTGAGAGTGCGGCAACTGACCCGGTTCGACGGTGAGACGGCTACAAAGGACGTTGAACTGGTGTGCAGCACTTGCACCTACGTCGAACGTGACGAACGGGTAAAACGACACCACGTATATGCGGCCGGTAATGACGGCGGGCAAAAACGCCAAAAACACGTGGGCGCGTATATTAACAAATTATGAGCACGGCTCGGGTTGCGGGACGGACGTCGTCCAAAAACGACACAACAATACAAAAACTAAGTGAGCGCACCGCGTTCGGTGGCTTCGCACTGCGTCAAGCGAATGGACGGAAACCACGTGGACGCGTAGGTGATCACGGCCCGGTACGCACAGCGAAAAGGATCGGACAGGTGGAACAAAATAAGCCGTGGGTTCGGCAAACATGGATCGCGGACACGATGTGTTGTTGAGCGCGAGGGCTCGGGTACACAAAACCAAAAAAAAACGCACAATGGTAGTTTAACGGCGACGGGGCACCGGTTCGCGACATTAAAAAAAAACATGCAGCTTGTGCAGTCTGCCTAGACGGCTGGAAAACGACAACGAGCAGCGGCGGCGGGTGGCTAGATGTGACAGCGCGGTTCCCCACTCCGTGAGGTCCAAGTCCGCTCTCACAGCTTATCGGCGGCGGCAGACTCATACAATGCGCAAAATATTATACCGATTGTGTATCCAACAGTAATAGTTTCTCAATCTTATGATTATACAAACATTTCAGATTTTGAAGATATTTATAAACATGTGTACGTTATAGAGTAAGCAAATTACTTGTTTACACACACATTTGGATCACGGATGATGAAAGTATCATAGTAACATAGTGTTATTGCTGTTATTAACAATATCTGGTCACATGAACATAATCACTGAGTGAGTTCACACACACACACACACACACACAAATAAATATTATATTCAACCTTGTTTATCATCATTGAATTTGTTTTCATAATAGATTGTATATTCGTAAATTCATAGAAAATACCTTCCAAAGATAACGATTTACTATGAAATACAATGGGTTTAGCGTACAAATGGCAAGGTTCCAGTGGTCTTTCCAAAGGCCCCATGTTACGATTGTTTACTCAATCGTTTCATGTGTCGCTAAAATAGCTCGTTAACATTCTTAGTAAATCTAAATTCGGTTATCCGATGGCTTCAACGTGATGAATTAAATACAGTCTATTCTCTGTAATATCAGTTGAGCAAAATATTTGAGAAAAATAAAAAAACTATGAATTAAAAAAAAAAAAAAATAAAAAAAAATATTACATACTCTTTTACTTGAAAAATAATAAAATACCTTATTCATATTTATATTTTTCACACATTTAAGAAACTTTAATTAAATATTATGTTAATAACATATTTGATGACTAGTTAGCTAAACTATACAAAATAATAATAATAATAAAAACGTATACAGATTACATTTAGTTAAAAACAGAATAAATATTATACTAACGGATGTATAAGACCCCTGTTACATGCGGCCCTTCAGGGATCCAAAAGCTGGTGTACTTGATAAATAATAATAGTCAATTAGAATGGTAATCAAATGTATTATATTAAACCAGACAAAACAAGCAGAATAATAGTGTTGATTGTAGCGAATTGTAGCTCGTTCCGAAGTTGATAATCTCCGTGTAAGTCGTGTGTGATGGCTGGGCGGCTAAGCGAGTCGTGTGGTGTTCTCGTCTCTGGATACATCTAACTCAGGCTGTCTCGCTGTCCCCTATATATATGGTGGCGGCGTCCTTTGAGAGTGAGCGGCGCGTGTACAGTCGTCCTTGATATGGACCTCACGACTATGAAAGTGGTATTCGTAATCGAAAACACTTTTGGGTGTGGTCGCATTCCTGGTTGTTATTATGAGCAAATATATGATATTGCGTAATCCCAATATATGATATTGCGTAATCCCATTACACCCCTTAATAAAAAAAAATATTAATTAACACCATATTATTACCACATACTATCATACTATATATATATATATATAATTGAAATAGAGTTGTTCGATATGATATTATAATAATTTATAACATTACCGCTTATATATTTTATGTTTTACAGTTGTATTACGGAAAGAATGAGGAAAATTATTTCAAACCGTCAACCATCAGAATCAATAGAATTAATTGAATTTGAAAGATTTAAAAAAATGCTATAAAACTTTTTTGATTAAGAATATAGATTCTATACTATACAAGTTGAATATAAACTTTTTTATTAAATAATTGTTATAGATAAAATAAATACTATAATAAAATTATAGGATAAAAATACAGAAGTATTATTTATTTTCATTGAGTAATTTTTCCGATATATGATGCCTTTTATATCGACTGTGGATACATCATGTTTTTTTTTTGTAACAGGCTATTGAGGATTAGGAGATCATAACATTGTGTAATAATTAATTTTGACTTCAATGAAAAAATATTTTACTATAAAAGTATTACATATTATGCATAAAAAATCACCATTTTATAAATAATGGAATGAACTGTTTCCTTTATGATGCTTTGGATACTGGTTCAATGAAAAAACAGCAGCATTTTGTGCAGAACATGTTATAAAGATGATAAATAAATGTAAAGAAGAATTAAAAAAAGATGTATTTGCTATAGTCACAGACAATGAAAATAAAATGAAAAGAATGAAGCAATTGCTACAAGAAAAGTATCCAGATTTAGTTGTATATGGTTGCTCTGCACATTATGTGAATTTGATAGAAAAAGAAGTAACTCCAAAAACAGTTATGAAACATATTGTAGAGGTACAAAAATATTTTAGAAATGTGCATCAGGCGCATGGATGGCTCAGAGAAAAGAAAGGGCTCATGCCACAAATTCCAAATGAAACGAGATGGAGTTCTCATTCTGCATGTGTTAGAACATTTGTTTCAAATTACCATTTATACCGTCAAATTTCTACTGACAATGATGATTTTGATAATACCATTGAAAAAATATTAAATAACGTTGGAATCTATAGGGAAGCACTCAACTTACAAGACCAGCTTATATCTGTTTCAAATTCATTAGACAGATTCCAAAGTGACAGTACATCTATATCTGATTCAGTAGATGTATGGAAAAAATTGTTAGTAAATGAAAATTTACTCCCTTACAAACACTGTTTTATAAAACGATATAAACAAGTCATTGAACCATATCATTTTCTTGCGTATATGTTGGACCCTCAATATATATTTCAAAATTTATTAACGCCTGAAGAAGAATCTGTGGCAGAAGATTGGATAATTTCAATGTATCCCCATTTCTTCCCTGCAGTTATGGCTTTTAAAATTCAAGATGAATCTTATTTTCCTAAAACTATGTTTAACTCAAACATTTTAAAAGAATTTAAAACTGTACAATGGTGGCGTATAATGGAAAAAAAATGTGATAAAATTGAAAATGTTCCTAATGACTTTTGCAAGTTTTTGATATCTTTACATTCTTGCCCAGCTTCATCTGCTTCAATTGAAAGAATATTTTCCACATATGGACTTGTATGGAGTGATTTAAGAAATCGTTTAGGTTCAGAGAAAGCACAAAAACTTGTTAAAGTTTATCGCAACTTAAGTTGTACCAAAAGTCAAAACCAAATAAATTATACTGAAGACTAAAGAGTAAAGACTGAACATTAAAACTGAAAACATATACCTATTACCTATTAACCTATTGCTTATGTGCTTATTTAAAATTAAATACAACTTATTAATTTATAGTTTATACTTATAAGTTATAACTATACACTATTATATTATATTTAAGAAACTTATAAAGAAATATAAAAAGTTTTGGTATACCTACCTATATAATATTATACAGTTAATTTGTTATTTTTTAATTTATTTGTTAACTTTATAATCATTCACCAGTAAACATTAAAAAGTTATTACTTATTTATTTTATTGTTATTCCTTAATTTGCATTGTTTATAGTAAATTGTTATGATCTTATAATTAATCTTAAATGTAAAATTATAATATTTAATGTTTTTGCTTACATATTACTATACACTATTATATTTAAGAAACTTATAAAGAAATATAAAAAGTTTTGGTATACCTACCTATATAATATTATACAGTTAATTTGTTATTTTTTAATTTATTTGTTAACTTTATAATCATTCACCAGTAAACATTAAAAAGTTATTACTTATTTATTTTATTGTTATTCCTTAATTTGCATTGTTTATAGTAAATTGTTATGAGCTTATAATTAATCTTAAATGTAAAATTATAATATTTAATGTTTTTGCTTACATTTTTATTGTTACTAAAAAGTAATAATAAATAAATATGCAGTTTGAAGTTTGTTATTTTTTCGTTTGTTGGTTTTTTTTACCGGGTTTTTTTTCTGGGTTTTTTACTGGGTTTTTTTGCTGGGCCCAACCCATTAAAACCCGGTGGGTTTTAATGGGTTGGGTCCAGTACTTCGAACCCTGTTTTACAACAGTCGCCCATTTATGGTACCTCGAGGTTCTAGGTTTTCCATCTGCTTTTAAATGGACTCCAGTAGTTTTCAAAATATTGTAATAAGATTCTATATCTGCTATAGTTGTATTTTTTGGTTCCTTCTCACATAATAAAGACCATAGTCCTGGTGTAAATTGATAGTATTTATCAAGCAACAGTAATTTGCCGTGACTAAAAGTAACAGAATGTTTTCCTATTTTATATGAATCACTATCTTTATCATAATGCATACCATAAGATTTATCATAACGTGTTGATTTAGGACGGTTATTTAAGAGGATGTCACAGTAGACAAAATATGGCATAAAAACATGGTTTCGTACTTCCAAGAATACGGCTTATTGAAGCGTTTTAAATAATATACAATATTTCGGCTGTAGTTGGAAAATCATGTAAGTATATATAGATTACCTAACAATTTTTAGAACGTTCAAACGTTGCATTCTAATAGTTAAGATTAAAGCTCAGAATATATTCAGTGAATTAACATTTTAATTCGTATTATAGCTGAGGATTGTAAATATCGATGGCGGAATATACGTGATACCTATATGCGGCACAAAAAAAAACTTGGTACTGGATCTCCGGCCATATTGTCCAAAAAAAAATGGCCTTTAGCTGGTCATTTGTCATTTTTAGATAATGTTGAGTATGAAAGAATGTAAGTAAATATATCAATTTCGTACTTTTATTCATAACTTTAAATTTTACTAGAGTTATAATGTTATATTAAATTAATTATACGACGATAAGCACGAAGACTCCCGGGTTTGATGCCTTGCGGCTACAACCGCGGACCTCACATTAGCGCTGTGCGCTAGTCGAGAGCCGCGGAGGTTCACGGTCGGCGTACGGTGGCGTTGCCACCAACCACCGCCCGCGCGTTGTCTATGGACCACGAGCACCGTGCGCACACCCGTTCCCAACGAAGTCGGGAGAGAGTGCGCCCGTACCGTTGGCTGAGGCATGCACGTACCCTTCGCCACCCAGGTCGGGTCGCAAGCTATCCTCATTGCTTCCCGTTTTTGGTTACGGGCAACCTCCGGTGCATATAGCCCCACCGGTAGGCTGGGTGAGCGCTAAGGAGTTTCTCACTCGGCAACCTTCCCCTAGACCGAGCATTTGGTCTTTTAACCATAGGGTTAGCTCCTGCTAACAGCCACTCCGAAACCAAACCGCCGTCGACCGCGCCGCAACCGAGGCTGGGCGCGACCGCCGTGTGAGGGCACGTCGTCAATCATCTCGACGCCGCGGGGCCCCCCCACATCCCGAAGTACCATTCTCGCCCCCGTTAGGTAGGCCCATCAATGGTGAGATGGCCGGGCCGAGCTTCGTCGACTGGGAGTCTCAGCTGTGGTCCTGCCGAGAGTATGATCGTGTATCACGGGCTCACGGTGGGCCCTTACCAGCGGCGATCGCCCTGGCGCGCTGGCCGCGACCCCCGAGTTCAAGGCTCGGTAGCCTTTGCCACGCCTCCCAGAGGCATCACCGAGGTGATCGACTCGCTCTTCGCGGGGTCGCAGTCAAAACCCCCAACACCCTAGTCCCCGAAGGTTTCGGTGTGTCCGCGTCCCGGACGCCGGCCCCGACTGGCCATTTCCCTTTTAGTCGCCTCTTACGACAAGCAGGGAATACTGATGCTGAATTCTGGACGGCCCCAGCACCAGGGCCGAACTCCTCGCCCTTGGCGCATGAGCACGCCCCTGGTCAGGACGCGCTCGAGCGTGCCCCGCCGCTTGTGCCGCTTACACCGTGCGTGCTCATCCGGGGCACCCCGAGACTATGCACATACACCGCCTGGTGTGGCTGCGTCCTGACCTTGATAGGTCTACCTATCTGTTCTGTTCGTCATGCACTTTCTACTGAACTTTCTCAGGGCTTCGTAAGTTCTTCTGGTACTTAGAAAGGCTCCTTTCTCGGGAGGCCACGATGCTTGCTCTTCCCTCATGACCGTTATCAGGTCTTCTCGGTAAGCCCTTGTCCTGGTGCACGCCAAGAGTACGTGTCGCACTGTTTCCGCTCCATTTCCGCACGCGCAATTAGCGCTTCTCACGAGCTTGAACCCGTGCAATTTCGCATTGAAGTCGCCGTGCCCAGTGAGGAACTGGGCCGTGTAATGATCCATTTTCAGCGGCAGTGCGCATCTTCGAGCCAGATCTGGTATCATTATTTTGGTCCACTCGCCCTTGTCCGTCTCATCATAGCGGGTCTGCCATTCCGCGATGAGGCCCTGGACTCCGTCCTCGTATTCCTGGCTGCTGATCGTGCCATTTCTGAGTCGACATTTCATTGTCACTCTCCTAACCTCCAGGTCAAGGGGCAGTACGCCCGCCACGGCCGAGAGGCAGTTGGTTGATGCCGTCCTATAGCAGCTCGTTATTGCCAGCAGTGGGGATCTTTGCATGCTGCACAGTGCATTTATGCTCTTTTTGAGCCCGCACCCTTCCTCCGCCCATATTTCTGCGCAGCTTGAAGATAAATACCTAGATAACACTGGAGCACAACCCAGTCAACCGCTGTTCCAAACACCCAGTCAACCGATGTTCCAAGCACCCACTCAACCGATGTTTCGACCACCCTCTAGGTCTACAGATTATAACAATATTATGTCACTTTCGAGCACACCATCGCCAAGCCTCAGTCCATCATCGGCTACTTCTCAAGGATTTGATCCATATATGAACAATAATCAACAATAACTATATCTAAATATATGTATGTATATTATAATAATTATTAATTAACAGGTTGTTTTTAAATTTTAATATTTTAATGAAATAAAAGTATACATAATATTAAATAATGTCATAAGGAATATTGTTTTTAATTTTAATACGTATAAAGTTTTTTTGTTTTATTATTTGATATTTAAATGTAAAAGTTAAATAATAATATCTTAATATAAACAACTTATAGGTTATTCTGCCATGAAACAGCGCCTTCGTTAGTAAAAAAGTCCTTATATGTTTCTCTGACGTCAAATCCTTCAGCGTTTGCAAAACCACCTCCTCTTGCAATTGGAATTATATTGTTAATTAGTACCGGTTCTCTTGAATCAAATTCTCTAAATGCTCGTCCATTTTCTTCTAAATATGCATCTCTTAGCATGTTATGCAAACAGCAAGCTACTGTGATTAGGTCATCACATGTCGATGGTTCAATGTTTATAGGCTGATAAAAGACGCGAAAAACCTGGCTCAATAAACCAAACGCATTTTCAGTCACTCGTCTGGCACGACTTAATCTATAATTAAATATAGAGTTTGTCTTATCATCTTTTGAGGCTTGTCTTGTATATGGTTTCATTATATGAGTGTGTAGCCTAAAGGCTTCATCCCCCACAATAACATGAGGTAAAATTGTTGATGACCCTGGTAATTTTTTTGCTTCTGGAAAACCAAATGACCCATCTAATATTTTTTGACCCATGTTCGACTTTAAAAATATTCCGCTGTCACCTTCTCTACCAAACGAACCAATGTCTACAGCAATAAATTTGTAGTTGGCGTCAACCATAGCGAGCAGTACAATTGAAAAATAATCCTTATAATTGAAAAAAAGTGATCCAGTGTTGTTAGGACTTCTTATTCTAACGTGTTTTCCGTCAATTGCCAAAATACAGTTTGGAAAATTCCATTTGGTCCAAAATTCTGAAGCTTTGACATTAAAATCTACGGTTGATATATCAGGAAGAAATATAGGTGTTAAATGTTTTTTTAAAGCTGACAGTGTTTTTTTGACAATTAGACTGATATAGCTATGTGAAATCCTAAATGCAAACGACAGTGATCTAAACGATTCCCCTGTTGCAAGATACCTATGGATTAAACAAAATATTTTAATTGTTTCATGAAGGTAAGTAATACTTTAAATATTGTTTGTTATTTTGAAATATAGGTAAATAAATTCTAATCACGGTTGTGAAGTATTTTAGTGTACGAATTTGATATGATTACGATAACTACCGATTATTATTATTATTAAAGTTATTCATAATTTAAATATATTAATAAATGTAATTTAACTACTTGCTTTAATTAATTATGATAATTAATGGAATACAATATTTAAAAATTACTTTCTGTATTACTTTCTGCAGGTATTTAATAAATGTAAATGTAAAACATTGTTCATAAAAAGTTGTTGGTGAAAATTCAGCGTCTGAAGTTAAAATTAAAATATAAAAATATAAAAAATATATAAAATAAAATAAATAAAAATATTCATTTTATTAAAAACCCTATTATAGCAGGTAATCCTATAATTGAGAAAATTAATATTAATATATTTTATTATTAGTTTTTTTTTATTTTTTTTATTAGTGAAAGAGTATTAGGTTTAACAATTTTGGTTTTAATAGTTCGTATATACGGGAATGATTATATAAAATCATTAATAGTTTTACAATGTTAATAGTTTTAATATTAATTATTTTTGGTATGATTTTTTTCAGCTTGAAGATTAAAAGATGATGATTAGCCCAGAATTTTTTTTTTTTTTTTTAAATAATTGAGGTTATTTTGGTTCATTAATTTTAATATTTGGGCATGGTTTATGTTCTTCTGGTTTATTTTGTTTAAGAAATATTTGTTATTTACGTTTTAGAAGTCGTAGAATATTTTTAAATAAAGGTTTAATTAATATTTAACCCTTTTTATCATTTTGATGATTTTTATTATGTTCTTCAAATATATCTTTTCCCCTTCTTTAAATTTATTTGGTGAATTATTTTTATTAATTAGCTTAATAATTTGATTGGATTATTTTTATATATTATATTTATTAATTATAATTTTAATATTTTTATATAGTCTTTATTTATATTTATATACTCAATATGGTAAATTATTTTTTAATATAAATTATTTAGTTTATATTAATTTAATAGAATATTTATTATTTTTTATGCATTGATTACCTTTAAATTTGATTTTTTTAATTATAGAATTATTTTGTTATTTAAATAGTTTAATTAAAATGAATTAAAACTATATAGTAGCTTACTTAAATATATTTACCTTAAAGTAACTGCTAATTTTTCGTCAGGTTGAATTGGTTTTTTAACTCGTCTAGATGGAGGTAATGTTATATCATCTTTTACCAATGATAGAATGAACATAAACTGGTCATAATTTATACGGAAAAATTCACGGAATTTCGGTTTACTGTTATGTAAATGTCCATTTATTAAAATTTCATAAAAACCTTCATCTTCTCGAGTTGTAAAAAAACTGTCGATTGATTTTCTTTTATTAATTTCTAATCGATTATTATACATTTCATCTTCTTCTTCTTCCTCCTCTAATAGAAGACTAATTATTGTATTATTATTTATTATTAATAATAATTTCCTACATCACAGTTCGTACAATTCGTAAGGTGCAACAATAGTTATTAAAATAAAGAGTTATAAACTAAACACGTCTGCACACTACCTACTAAATATTGGAATAAAATGAACTATTATTCACCAGCCGCAAAGTAAAGTCGCATATAGAAAACCAGTCGGCACGCAGCGTTCAGTCGTTGCGACTAGTCGTTGCGGCCAGCCGCAGATAGGAAACCGTACCTTTACAACACAACTACCTATTATAAAAATTGTAGAGGAGAATTTTTTTAACAATCGTAAGAAATCCGTTTTTTGATATCGTATTCTAATCGTCCAATCACATGGTAAATTAACACGGTTTTTAACTTTTTATCCTTTTATTATTCAACTAATTAATAAAAATATCAGAAAACGGGCTTCTTACGATTGTTAAAAAAATTATTCTCGACAATTTTTATAACAGGTAGTTTTGCTGTAAACCGATTCAATAAGCCGTATTACTTGAATTATCGAAATATTTGGGTATGATAAAAAAACTAATTATTACGATATCGGAATAGTTAATAATAATATAAGAAAAAAATCTAAATTAAATTCCATTGTAAATTTTTTTTTTTTTTTTTATTGGTTAAGCATCAACTACATAGGTTATTAGCTTACAGGTATTATTTCTACATTAAATAATTATATATATATAGTATATATATATATATATATATAGTATATATATATATTGCTGATGACATGCTGATGGATTTGTTGGTACCGTGACGTGACTTATTTGTTTTTGATGGTTCTTCTTGGAGTTGTCTTCTCGGAAGAGTGTACAGTTCTTCTTTGTTGACGGTAGCCTTTGATGGTTGCCTCCTCTGCGCCAGTGTTACTTGCGGCCCTTCAGGGATCCAAAAGCTTGTTTCACTTTTACAATAAAATGTAGTCAATTTAAATATAAATCAATTGTAATTTATTAAAACCAATAATAATTAATATAGTCGTGGTGAATTGCAGCGTCGTGAGTTGACTCGTTGTAGTAGTCGATAATCTCCATGTAAGTCGTGTGTAATGGCTGGTGGCTAAGCGGCTCGCTCGGTCTTGGCGGCTCTGGTACATCTAATTCGTATTGGAGCCCTTGCCTCTATATATACGAATATACGAAGGCGACGCCCTTTGAATTGAGCGGCGCGTGGCATGCAGGCGCCCTTGGGAAGTTGTTGTCATTCGAAGCGTCTATTCTAGCTATGACCACTTTTGGGTGCGGTCGACGAGGCCGCTTTCTACATAAGTAGTACTTGTTATTGTGAGCGTTGTACATGAATTGCGTAATCCCATTACAACACACGAAACATTTTTTAAATATTTTCGATGGCCTATTTTTGTAATATTATGAAACTAGTAATGTCAGAATGTTTCAAGAATATTATGTTTATAATATAAAATAATATTGCATTTGAAATATTTCTTACATAATACTGTTAGGTTTTTTTTTAATATAAAAAACTGAATTTTGTAAAAATATTTTTGAAATATACAGTTTACAATGTTTTAAATTACTATTTTTTAGATATTTTTTTATTTTGTCTAGATAAAATTACATCCCTCACTCCCCCACCTAATTTTGAATAATACCAAAATCATCCTTATAAGTAAATCATTGAATTTGTAGGAAAACACATTTTTAGATTCTGAGCGGAGCGAGGAAGCTAGTGGTTTTACAATGTTTATTTTTATTTTGTTTTTTATCCTGTAAACAAAATTTCTACCAGAAGGAGTGCTTCGATTACAACATACTATAGTATCTTATCGTTTAGCAAATTGGATCTAGATGGTACTTTAATGAGGTAATTTTTCGAGAATTTTCCCAATTATTATTTAACGCAACGGGAAAACTTAAGAAAATTTACATAAGACTGGATAAAAAAAAACTACATAAAACGGGATTTTAATTCTAACCGGTTTTTCTTCTTTTTTTTAGGTAGGAACTAGGAGCCACGATTTAAACACGATTAAAATCTATTTTATCATAGATAGTGTGGTGTACTGGCGTACCTCCATAATTGTGACAATTTTGCTATTAAAATTACTATTATAAGTACTATCAGATATTACTTATTACATAATATTTGGTATGGAATAGTTGACGGGCGAATAATCACAGTAATATGATATTAGTAATTTACCCAGCCAGTTTAATGCGTTATTATTCGGACGAGAAAAAAAAGGCTATTTCTTTTAATAACTGGAAAAGTAGGATATATTTTTATTAATAACAACTATTTATTATTGTATCTACAATAATAACTGTATATTGTACAATTATAAAAATACGAAAATATTTTTGTATATTTATGTTAAAAAATGTTGTTTTAGATCAAATATTGTATTATTGACAAAAATACAAAAACAATTGAATTAAAAAAAAACTGTGACTACTATTACCAAGTGCAAGGCCAACTGCATATAACAGGGAGAACAAACTGTTATTTTTTTATATTCACAGAAAACTGGAATCATACAATAAATATTAAGTATGATAGTGAATTTTGGTCGACTAAAATGGTCAAACAGTTAAACTGTAAGTATAAATAACTAATTCTAATAAGACGGAACTTAATAATTAATTACGATTGGTTTTTTTTTAGATTTTACACCGAATGTTTACTCCCAGAGTTGGTAATGCCTCAATATGGTAAACGGTTATTAATCAGTGATATTCGTGAACCAGATCACACTAAAAATAAAATAATTAAAGCCTAATAAACTTGATAAATACCTACAGTACCTACTAAACATCGAAACTATTCTTTATAATTCTACATTTTGGGAATCTAAAATGGTTCATAAACTCAAAGCGTAAGTGAAGTATAAATGTATAATTAATGATTACAATTAAGACTTATACTATAATACTGTAATATAAAATACTTTGAATGTTATTTGTTTTAGATTTTATTTACAATGTTTACTATCGGAAATAGTACAAGCACTTTACCCAACTAGAATGCTAAAAAGTGATATACGAGAACGAGAGAAAGCCAAGTAATATAAATAGTACTGTGGTACCTATATTAAGTTTTATAAATAAAAAATAAGAAATACCTAATTTTATTAGTTTTTACTTGAATTATGAACTGTATCTAATTATATTTCCATAACCAATTTATTTCCTTTCTAAAATTTTGTTTTATTGTATTGGTATCGGTATGCATATTAAAGTAAACAAGAGTTTTATTTATTAATTACAAACTAATAAATATAATATTATCGAACACACGCGTAATTCATAATATCTTTGTTATTACTTATTAGTAAATCGTAGATTTCAAATTATTGTAGGATAGGTAGAAAGGTAAAACCTTATAAATAATAATAGGTGACTGATGTGTGAAAAATGTTTTAGAAATGTTAGAGATACGCAAGAAATGTAATTTAAAAAATATACCTATGTGGTAACAGTATAACATAAAATAATATATATTCAATTAATTAACCTACTAAAATATAATATTTAGATATTTAGGTAACACTAGTTTAGGTTACAGTTATATATTAGATAATATTATTTACTGTATTGAATACATTCTTTACGAAGTATTTAATAATGCAATAAATATAAGCCGCGTATAGGTACGCTCGAATATTAAAAATATTACGGCGGTAATGCGGTATAATATACGTGTATGCATTTTATATTTACGCGATCCGCCACAGACGAAGGTTGATAAAACAATGAACATCGCTCCCGAGTCCCGAATGAGCAAAATTGTCGGCCAGCCGCCGACTGTGAGTAGTGGGCGCGGCTTAAGCGTCGCGTGCTTGCGGATCGCGAAAACACCTAACAGCGCGTTCTCTCGGTCGTTGTATACGTTTCGTTTTCGGTGTGGCGTCCTCTTAAAAAATTTTCATATGATGAATTTAATTCATCATCATTACCTTCTTCACTAAAGCGACCCATACACGAAACGATCGGTTTGTCGATTTGTCGACAAAAAAGTTGTTGGATATATCGACAATCCACGCTACTCCACAGACAGTACAATTTGTCTGTCGATATGTTAGTTGGAGGCTGGTAGTCTAACCGTGGAATAGTCTGTATTCGACAGTATTCGGTGTTGTGTTGTATTGAGTTTGCGTTTCGTTGTGTTACAATTTTTATGATTTAAATTTTAAAGTTAAGTTAAGTTTTTAAATATGTCAATGTTAGAAAAAAAACGAAAAGCTTTAATTGCTGTGGCACTTGTTTGGTGCGTAGATGATGAAGAAAAAAGAAAGAAAAGAAAATGGTCAAAACAGTGGTTATTGGAAAGGAGGAAATATTCTCATATTACTACGGCATTTAGAAACAAATGAACCATCTGACTTCAAAAATTACTTGAGAATGGAAAATCATTTATTCCATCAACTATTAAATTTAGTTAGGCCACATATTGAAAAGCAAAATACCGTCATGCGAGAATCAATTTCTGCCGAAGAACGACTTGTTGCTACTCTGCGTTTCTTAGCTACTGGTCGGAGCTATGAAGATTTGAAATTTTCGTCAGCTATTTCAGCTCAAGCTTTAGGAAAGATTATTCCAGAAACTTGTTGGGCCATATACAAAGTTCTACGAAATGAGTATTTACAGGTAAGTCAACATTTAATATTAAATTTTTATGCAAATATACACCAATATGTAAATAAAAAAATTTAGTGCGGAAAAAAATCCCCAGACTAAAGTATTGGCTGAACAAATATTTTTTAAACCAAAAATTAGTATCTATAATTATTAGCTCATTATTAATATTTAATTACAAATACGTATATTACATTATATTATATATTTACTAGCTGACCCGGCCACGCGTTGCTGTGGCTAAAGTTTTTGTTATATTACATTATAGTAAACAATCTAAGAGGAACAATAAGAGAACATCAGTCACGGAGTCCACTATGCTTTTTCACACAGATGGTATTTGTAAAAAAATATGGTGATCTCCTTATTTGATTTTCTACTACTATAACCCTTTAGTACAATGAAATTATTTACTAACAAAGACGAAAATGTTGATGTTGGTATACAAATTCACTGGATTGAGATTTGAAGGGGAAGTACGTTGAACACAATTAATTAAAATGTTCTTACACTTGATATTAAGCAGAAATCAATACGTTCAAAATAAAAATTTATCAGATTTATTATTTCCATATAATTTTATAACAAACATAAGTATATTACAGTATAATACAGTAAATAACATGTGACGCTTAAACTCATGAATGAGATAGGCAAGGCAGACAGTCTTAAACTTTTAAACATTAATATCTATTTTTTTGAATTATAAATACTTTAAATTTAAATTTAATTTAGCACCAATCGGTGCACAATGTTTTTGGTTAACCGGTCTTTAGCTAACACAAATAGATTCGACGTTTTCTCAACACGTGAACACGCAACATATAGTTGCCCATGAGAAGAACATGGACTTTCCAAATCTAAACCACAAATGGACATTGTTTGACCTTGAGATTTATTTATAGACATGGCGAAAGCTAAACGAATTGGAAACTGTAGCCTTTTGAAGGGTATGGTAGAATCTGATGGTATCATCGGAATACGTGGCAGCAGGACCACTTTTCCTTTAAACTTCCCAGACAAAATGGTTGCTTCAAGAATGTTTCCGGTGATCTTTTTGATGACCAAACGCGTACCGTTACATAATTGAGGTGGATTCAAATTACGGAGGAGAATAATAGGGGAACCAATCTTTAATCGAAGATTATGTGGTGGCATTCCAGGGATATCTAATGAATTTAAAAATTCAATCGGAAAATTTACACTTTCATTTTCATCAACAACAGTATCGATTGATTTAAAAGACATCAGATCGCCTGGTAACAACTGTTGTATCTGGAAGTTAATTTCGTCAACATCAACGTTTTTGGCTGCCAAAATCGCCCGTTGACTAAGCTATTCATGATTCAAATAATTATTCTGTATATCCGGGAAAATACTCTGAATCAATTCATTTTTATCCTGAACAACAGTGCAAAAATTGTCTGGTAGTATGCATTGCGTATTTGGTTGCAGTTCTATTTTACCGTTCCCAATATCTAATAGCTGTTCGGAAAATATTTGTGCTGATGGATCATTTTGCAATTTTACTCGCATATTTATGGTCAATCGAAGTGTTTCAACACTTCGCCATAAGAATGATTTTTTCAAACAGGCATTACTCTCATACGCGAAAGTAGAGCGAGGTATAACCGGTAAGGTCTGCCGGAAGTCACCAGACAAAAGTAAGATAGCACCACCGAAAATTTTATTATTGCTGTTTAAATCTTGCATAGTTCTGTTTAATGCTTCAAGTGAATATTTGTGTGCCATTGTGCACTCATCCCAAATTATTATAGAACTCTTCCGCAACACTGCAGCTATTCCACTATTCTTTTTGATGTTACACATTGCATCTGGTTTATTATAAACGTCCAATGGCAGCTTGAATGTTGAATGTGCTGTTCGCCCACCATCCAGTAAAGTAGCAGCAATGCCTGACGATGCTACTGCTAATGCGATTTTTTGTTGCGACCGTATTTTGGCAAGAATCAACGATATTAAAAATGTCTTACCGGTTCCACCGGGTGCATCCAAGAAAAAAAAACCGCCTTGTTCAGCAGCAACAGCCAGCATAATCCGATCATAAATAATTTTTTGTTCTGCTGTCAGTAATGATTCACTGTTCATGATAATTGTTGCTAAACTTCCATGGTCATATTGATTTTCTCGTTGTAAATCGGTATTGACTAAGTTGGTGGCTGGACGATTAGGTGATGGCATACCATAATGATTAAGTGGTAAATATGAAATAAGAACACATAAATCCTCGATCAAGACCAATGCTTCATTGTACATCTCTGGTGTATAATCTATGTTTTGGCATTGATTTGTTTGTCTAATTCAGTGCAAGATGTCTTCTGTCATACAATTTTTATATTTTTCCCACAAAGTTTGTGCTTGCGAGGGATAACATGTCGTCAAAATAATTGCAAACAACTGACGAATGTTATTCGGTGTTGATGTCAACGCAGCATCAGCAAGCGTTAAGTCCCAATGGTTATCGTCTTCTAGCAATTGCAGTTCACGACATGCATCCTGGTATGTATTGAATACTCGACCATTAACTGTTCGTAAAAATTCAAAAGACGTTGGTCCGGGAACATTCACCAATAACAAACGTAAATAGAAGCACTCACGTTGCTTTGGATGTACCGTGTAAAGTCTCCCCAATGTCTTAGCTTTGAATATGCCTGTAATGGAAGGATGTGGTTTTCCTTGTTTCCGTGGCTCCCATTTTTTACTGGATTTGTTCCATGTGAAATAACGTGGAACATCACCATACACCAATGTCTTCGCGAATTGGCCAAAAACATCAGGTTTTTGACACAATGTAAAAAATTCAGTTAGAGTCGTTTTTGGAGCTTCGAACGCTCTTTGGAGAACATTTTCTTCAGTGAAGTATACACGTTGACCGTTTTCAAGATGTATTGCCAGATGTTGGACAGCAGGATCTCTTTCGTGGATGGGAAAGCTGAGAATATGCCAAATAGCTTCATTGCTGCTAATGTATCTGCCCATTTGGTATCGTGCTATTTCGTCATTTTTATTTATGTTTTGTACTTCAAATATGGCCAAATCACTGCCTTTGTTTACATATTTTCAAATATACTTAATTGATTTAACAGAACTGCAAAGCTCAACATTGATATGAGCTTTGTAAGTTTTTGAAAGTAGTGGTGAGTATGGTACCACCCACTGATTATCAAACTCAACTTGATTTGGAAAGTTCGGCAGTCGCATTGTAAATGTGTGGCCACCATTCTCAGTACTTCTGCGGCGATACATTGGATAACCATCAATATCCGTGATCGTGTCATTCGTATGCGGCTTTGGGAAGTTTTTTTTACATTTTCCATTTTCCATGCACGGTGACGTCATGTTGAAAGCACCGCATGGCCCATGGATCATGTGTTTGGTGACAATATCAAATAATTCTTGATCAATTAATGGGTCTGGAATTTCGGCTGAAATTATTTGATCGATTTCTTCAGGACGGATTCTATCTTTAAGCCAAACCAAAATGTGGGCATGAGGCAAACCTCGCTTTTGCCACTCTATCGTATACAGCCAACAACGTGTGATACCAAAAATTTCATATTTAACAATAAAATCAATTAAGGATTTCAATTTTTGTTTAAACACACGTGCAGTTAAATCATAACGATGAATGGCTTGTTGTCCTGGCAATAGTAAAGTTTGTATCTCTTCCCAATTCGGATTACATGTGAATGTAATAAATAAATCCGGTCGGCCGTAATGACGTACGTAAGTCATCGCATCTTGTATGTATTCCTGCATGTTCCGTGGACTGCCGATGTAGCTTGAAGGTAAAATGAAAGCATTACCGATGTCATTGGGATTTAAATTTCCATCGATTTTTCCAGCAACAGCATCTCGTAAGTGAATATATTCTTCCGATCGTAGTTTTGCCTGGTTAAATCGAAGGAATCGCAAGAGTTCGCTTTCAACCTTAGCATACACATCAACAATGTATTTATGGAACAGCTGACGATATCGAAGGATATAATTGTCTTGATGTTGTCTAACCATTATTCGGTGTGCGTAGTAGTTCATTGAGCTAACTTTATTATTTCTGTAATCACCTAAAAAAATAAAAAATAAAATGCAATACGAAATTAAAATCTATACATACAGTAAGAAAGTAAATAGATAATTGTCAAATTTACCGGTATTTGGATCATACTGTTTGATATTAAGGTGATATTCATCTTGTCCTTGCCAAAATATCAATGGATATTGTAGTGCGTCATATGAACGGTGTAGATCCGAAATCGTACTGACAGTGTTGTCTCGCCGTGTAATTTTTATAGATCTTTTGTCAACTGGATCACCAACCATGATAACAGCAACCTCATCAACAGTTGGAGCGTTGAATCTACCAGCATGTTCACCTAATGGTACTTTGTCGGCTTTTATGACGATTTGATATTTGTCATTTTGCAGTCGTGGCGAAACTCTTTTGATCAATTGAAGTAGTTGATTGTGATCTTCTAAAAAATTTTCCAATAATTTCACAATTGCTCTTTCCTCTGCTTGTTCAATAAAATTATACAGGCACCGAGTCGTCACACGCTCTTCACAATCGCCCATTAAATAAATTTGAAGAAATTTCGGATTGTTATCAGGCATTGGCATCAGTGATCCATTTTATGGTACAAATGGCCTTGAATTTTGAATGTAGTTTCAAAATTACGTCCATCGGATGCACGATCGCAAATTTTAGTTGCCCCAAATGACGTCATTTGGAAGCAAGAATTAAATTTGCGTATCTTACGCAAAAATAATTTGGAATCATCTGAATTGCCAGTAAGAAGGGATAATAAAGGCTCCGGCGGAGCGGGTAGAGGTGACAGTACAACTTTTCCTGATGCGCAGCACATGCCGGCTGCTTCATTCCGAAATTTCAATGCCTGACAATGTTGACATACTTTATCCATTCCACCGATAGCAATTTTTGAATGCGCTGAGTAGTTAATATCTGGTGCATATTCAAAGGCAAGCCGAACGAATGATGCACGTGTTAATGAGCGGCTGATCCGTTGCCTTTGTCGATCTCTTTCTCGTACTGTAGCTATGTTTCGTTCTCGTGCCGCTCTTGTTCTCGTAATATTCTGTTGCATACGTTCGTCATGCTGTTCTTGAGATTCTCGTGCACGACTTTCTGCAGTCCTGATTCTTTGAGCTGCATTTCTTGTTTCGATTTGTTCTGGTAATTGCTGAGCTCTTTCAACACGTTTGCGTCGTGACCCTTTGCTGCTCGCGTTGTTGAGGTTAGATTTTTTCGGTGGCATTTGACTGAAAATAATAATTTAATCGTTTAAATATTAGAAAGAGGAACTGAAAAACATGTTATCATAGCACATTGAAATAATAAGTGAAAAGTCAAAAATAATTTTCAATGGAGGTTAAATAAAAATAATATAAACATTTTTGTACAATTATTGAAAAAGTGTGGGGAGCTTTGTGCCATTTTCTCATTGATATATTAATTAACAAAAGTTTGTGATATTACTTACATGTATAAATTGAAATTATTGTTCCTGTGCTCCTACTGTGGCTATGGTTATTACGTACCTATGAGAAAATATATTTTTTTTTTATTTGTAGTTTATTAGTGGTTTTGGAAATCATAGAGCATAGTAAACTATTGAGTATGTCAAATGGTGCACAATATTTTTGGTTGTTGGCTGTATTAACCCTTCAATATTTTTTTTTTTATCAATTAAAATTGTATAAACTAATTTATCTTAGAGGAGTTCGGGAAAAATAATTTAAAAAATATTGGACTAATAGTTTTTTGTAGAAAACGAATTTTCAGTTTGTTGCAAATATGCAACATTGAGCACCAAAGTCATATATATTTTTAAAACAACTATATTCATTCCATCTTGGATATATTTTTATTAATTATAAGAATAAATCATAATAACAAAAAAAATTCATAATAAAATCATAATAACAATTATAACAATTATAAAAATTATAAAAATATCTAAATAGTAATAAAAAACATAAATAATAATATCTCATATGATAGCACCTTTTATCACATAAAATAAATAAGAAATATTATACACTTACGCGCAATGTTGCATATATGCAACAACGCGCATTATAGGGTTAACAATTCATATCTACACGCCACCGACGATAAAACACATACAATAGAAAAAAGGTCAGGTTACAGATAGATATTATCGCGGTCGGCCACGGAAAAAACCCGAAATACACCATGCAATCATACAAATTTATTAAAAAGTTAATTAAAATATTTAATGCATTAAAAAATTTGAAATAAAAACTATCCTATCTTTTAAGTTTGACCAAATTACACGCGGTGTAAAAAATTTCATCAAAATCGGTTAAGTGGTTTAGGAGTCCATTGAGGACAAACATTGTGACACGAGATTTATATATATTAAGATATATTATATCATTTAAAAAGTTAATAACAAAATATTATTTATGATACAATTATTTACATTATCATTAATATTCTATTATCATTTATCCCTATATTATATTAATTTTTTAAATGATAATATAATATACCTACGTATTTGTAATTAAATATCATATTATTTATAATACATTTTAATTCCTTAAACAGTGAAATAATGACATACTATATTATTTACATAATATGTACCTATATAATATATATTTGTTTTTATAATTTTTGCAATCTATAATCCGTTGTATTTTACATAGTACTCCATTTTTTTTATAGATGCCAAAATGTGAAAATGAATGGAAACAAGTAGCTTTAGAATTTAAGACGTTATGGGATTTTGATAATTGCCTAGGAGCTATAGATGGGAAGCATGTACTATAATAAACAAACCTCCAAATAGCGGTTCTTATTTTTATAATTATAAAGGAACGTTTAGTGTTGTACTTTTTGCAGTAGTGAACGCAAATTATAAATTTTTATACGTGCATAGTGGTACTAATGGAAGAGTATCTGATGGAGGTGTCCTGAAAGAAACAGATTTCTATAGATTATTTGAAAAAAAACAATTGAAAATACCACAACCTCAGGCTCCACCACTAAGTGAATGTGATTTACCTTATGTTTTCTTAGGCGATGAAGCCTTTCCCTCGATGGAAAACTTTATGAAACCTTATTCACAGTATAGTGCTGGTCGAAAAGAACACATTTTTAACTATAGACTGCTCGTGCTCGACGTGTAGTTGAAAATGCATTCGGGATTTTAGCTGCAAGATTTCGGGTTTTTTTACAACCATTGAATATTGACGTTCGAAATGTAGATGCAATTGTAATGAGCAGTTGTGTGTTACATAATTTTTTACGAAGAAACTCAAGCAACTACTATACTTCTTCTAACCAATTAGATACTGAAAATTTAGATACAGGTAATATAACACAAGGTCAATGGCATCAAGTTGGGGAAATGGTACCAATCCAAAAAACAACACATTATACAGCTCAAAATGCTAAAGACGTAAGAGACAAATTTAAACAGTATTTTAATAATGCAGGAAAAGTGTCATTTCAAGAAGGAATGGTAAATATGAGCCAATAAATGATTACCTAAATTTGATATGATATTAACTACCTATACGGCTATACTATACTATAAGTATATTATACTTACATATTATATATTTATGTATTATTAATTCCCAAAATTATATTGTATAATATATTTAAAACATAGGTATATTGTTACATCTAAACAATTAATAAATATAAAAACTCGTGTTATTATAAACTTATACAATTCACTTTATTGTAATTATAACAAACAACAACACTTTTTAATAATTAGTTTTAAAATTAGTTTGTAAAGTTATAATTCTTAAATTATTTATTCTATTTTTTTTACATTTAACATGTTATATGTATTTTATTATTTTCGGACTGTGATAACATAGCTACCTACTATATTAAAAAAATTTAAAATAAATAAAGAATTTCAATTCTGCTTTATTTATAAATGTGTACATCGACACTTAGAAAATAAAATATACTAAATTTGTTATATTCATAATATAGACAATTTTCACTATATGAATTATTAATATATACCTAATTATAAACTAATGAAAAAAGTAGTATCAATAAAATACTATTTTTTATAAGGCAATAAGGTTTACTTTTTAAATATCAACATGTCATTCAAATTTTGAATAGAATTCTGAGTCGGCTCATCAGTATTATCCATTGATTGATGTTGAAGCTGTTGTTGGTTGTTAATGTACTGTTGTTGGTTGTTAATGTACTGTTGTTGGTTGTTAATGTACTGTTGTTGTACTGTTGATTGTTGCTTTTGAAAATTAATATTATAATGGTCTTCTGGTTGGTATTGTTGTTGCTGTTGGTACAATGCAGCCATTTGATTACTTTGTGAATAATCAAATGGCAAAGTAAAACGTGGGTCAGGATAAGGATTGGAAAATTGAAAAGAGTTAGCTGTGAGTTTACCGATTCTCCCATAATACATCACTTCTGATATTATTTTTTCTGATAATAAACGTTGATCTTCTGTCATACCCTTTAGTTGCAATGCAAACCTTTTTCCAATTACTGAAGTTTCGTCATCTTCACTTGACGTACCTAAAGATTTCATAGTTTCACTTGCTAGATCCATAAATTCAATTTTTTTTGCAATAATCGATTTTTTTTGTTTTTTGGTGGGTTGAAACTTGGCGTTCCTGGATCGATATTTTGAAGAGTAGGAGATTCATTTGGTGCTAATACATCAATCATAGAGTCACTGTCTTCAACATTCTAAACATAAAATATGAATAACTAATGAAATACTACTAAGATATGATAAACATTAATTATACCACAATATGGAAATTATTTATGCGCAAGGTCTATCTAATTATTATTTTAAATTCTGAGCGGAGCAATTAATGTATTGATTTTACAATGATGTGCGTTTATTTATTTATTTTTTATTTTTTTTGTGTCTGTGACCTGTGTTCACGATAATTTGTCAAAACAATGCTTAGATTTTCTACTTTAGTAGCTTGATTGTATGCTTGATTCTTCATGAGTTTGTCTACTTTAATCAAAAAAAAAAATGTCTACCGAAAAGTCAAATTAAGTTTTTATGAGCATTTGAATTACACTATTATTGGATATTCACTCAATTTATTATTTATATTATTATGGAGAATAATGAATAAAACATAGTAAATAAAAATCACCCAATAATGAATATCGAATAATAATAATAATTAAAATAATGAATAAAAGTAAAAATCAATAAAGAATAATTTTTTATTCGAATAATCCCCTATACTCTTTTGGCACCGAGTGCCTTAAATTTGAAATAGTCATTTTTGATTAATTACAATTAACAATATAAAATAAAGTAATATATAGTATATTATTATGTATTAGTGATGGGCAACGATATAATTTATATTATATATTTAAATATCAACTTATTAGTACTTATTAGTTGTTACTTATAATAATTAACAATTGTAGGTAGGTATAAATATTGAAATAATAATAATTATTTATTATAATTCAAAAATAGGTAGATACTTACTAAAATCGAATCATCATCATTTAAACTGGACACACCAACCCTTCCACTTTCATGTTCACTTGAAAATAACAATAAGTTATAATACCATAAGCTTGGTTCATAAATATTGTCCGGAGAAGTTCCTGTATGTTTGGATTTCTTTACTTTGGACAATTCTCTCCGAAAAGTTGTTCATAAATTATTTATTTTTTTTCGAACAAATTTTCGGTCGGCTTCAGGATATTTTTCTTTGCATTTCTCAACTAATTCATCTAGTCCGGCATTTCTCAAATGTTTGTTTTTATTTATGTCACTTTTGATTTTCCATAATGCTGGATGCTTTTGATAAAGTTCAATGAATTCAGAAATGAACTTTTTGTCTGATTCAAAAGACATTACAAGATTTTATAAATTCAAAAAAATAATAATAGTTTTCAAAGTTTTCAACGGTGTAGAATACTATAATCACGCTGCGACTGCGTGGAAATCGCTGCAAATCGTTTGCCAACCGTCGACAACCCCATACATGAATCGACATGTTCGTCGATCGTACAGCCGATCGACGAGTTGACACTCACGGAGCGTCAACTTGGAAATCTTCAATCGATTGATAAACATCTCCATTCACGTATCAATTTATCTGTCAACCAGAAGTTTGTCGACAAATCGACAAACCGATCGTTTCGTGTATGGGACGCTTAATGCACGAGATCTCTGATTTATTTTCTAGTTCAGTTGACCGCGTGTTACATATTGCATTTTGTTTTACATGTGTACTCAATGGTTCAATTATCGGCTTAAATGCTTCACGGAAATAGTTTTCAGAATCTATCTATAACACCACGTTTCATTTCCATTATTTCGTTGTATATTTTTTTTTGATGTTATTAAATTTTACAACAAGACTTTTTCTTTGTTCATTGTAAATAATAAATGTAATATACCTGTATCGTATGACTACTGATAACACTATGCAGATAATAACTGTGTGACGGTATATTTATATAAGCACATAAAATTATTTTATTTTAATGAATGTATGAAAACCGCATCTATGCCTTCCTTCATTCATTTCTCGAGTTGTATCGATAACCATAAACCCGTAATCGCTATGATTCCAACATAACTGAGAAACTTTCCGAAATTCTGAGAAATCCATATCTGCAGACGAATGATCGTTGAATATATGTCGTAAATTTGTATCATCTTGTTTCAGTATTATTAAAAAGTTATCTCTTAGAGTTATCTCTTACAAGCTGTTTTGATATTTTAAAATAGGTATGTCTGTGCTAAATAAAATACGGAGCTGGCACCTGAATGTCTACCAATGCTAAAGTATTCTCTGATTACAGATTGTAAATAGGAAAAAATTAGCACCTAAGCACCTTGTATACCATCTATTATTTTTTTTAATAAAACATATTTTTCCTGATTAGAGGTTTTCGAGTATAAATAAATATTTTCAAATCTTAACCCGTTTGCATGTGTGATCTGATTAAACATTATATTTGTTTTTCCTGAACCGCTGGGACCAACTAGTATAGCACGTATAGTATCGGGTAATAACGAACCGTGTCTTGATGGTTTTCTTACTACCTGAACATCTACATTTATAACATCCAATTTATCTTTCTGTTCGATCAAATCCATATTATTTTCTTATAAATACTCTAGAATTCTCTAATTTTTAATCAGTTATTGATGATGCGTTCAACTCGCAAGTGTAAGTCAGTCAAGACTGGAAAATGATTTGTAAACTCCCTTATAAATAGTCTCCCGTTCGAAGCCCATGTTTCAGGCTATCAGTATTGTGGTCCTGGTACGAAATTAAAAAAAGAGGTTAGATCGTGGTGATCAAGGAATAAACCCATTGGATGCTGCTTGTCGTGATCACGATATTGTGTATGCAACGAGTAAAAATTTAGACGATAGACACAGAGGCGGAACTAGGGGGGTGAAGCCGGGGATTTTTCTTTAGTTCTTTATTTAATGCTTGGTGATAGAAGTTAAGAAAACATTTTTATTTCACATTATTTGTTTATGATGTTGTAGTGATGATGTTGGAATTAATGAAAAAAAACCATGTGTGTTACCAGTACGCGCGCGGGAAGTTAAACTTCTTTTGAATGGTACACGTGAGTGAGTGAAAAGGAAAGAAAAAAATATTAATTAATTTAAAAAATGAGAATAAGTATCCGGAATTATTTATTATTGATAGTTTTATTATTTTTTTTATATTTTTATTCGACAGATCGATTGATAATTGTTTGTAGTATTGTTTTTATCCAGACAATAGATTTATGAGTGAATACTAATAATAATAATAAAAATAAATAATAATCGATCATTAATTATTCATATTAACTAGTATGGCCCGATTATAATATATATATACTAGCTGATCCCGTGCACTTCGTCGCCCTTTAAATGTATCAACTCAATATGAGTTATGACTCAAACTTTGTTCAATTCGTTATTCAATATTTGGTGTATGGTGTTCAAAATTTATCTTATCTTTTCCGTTGCCCGGAATAAAAATACTGAATCGCAGCAGTACATTATCAGGTGGGCAATCTACCTGCTGTAGATCGCGGACCCCGTGCTGTTTGTACGGAAGTGTATGATTTAACTCTAAATTATCAAAGTTATACCAAGTTTATTTTGATATAATACGGTGGATTAATATAACAAATTTGGTTGCTCGTAAAAAATCACAACTCTTAAAATAATTATGATTGTTGAACTCCTTTTGGGTGTAACTTGCTGGGGTAAGTGCAACTCAGCCACCCTGGTAGGCAATGTTCAATAATTTGATTTGATGCAAGCTTGTACCTGATCTGCCCGAATAACCAATGGCAACCAATAAATAAATGCTAATTTCTAATGTAGACTGTAACCAATGGCAACTATTAATAAATAAAAATAAAATTTCCAATTTCCATCTTGAATCTCAATGTCCCTGTTTGAGCACCTATTTAAAATGCGAATTTCGAAAAATCCTTTCTTAGCGCACGTCTACATCATAATAGCTATCTGTATGCCAAATTTCATCCAGATCCGTCCAATGGTTTGAGCTGTGCGTTGATAGCAGTCAATCAGCTTACTGTTTTATATATACACTAGCTGATCCCGTGCACTTCGTCGCCCGTTAAATGTATCAACTCAATATGACTCAAACTTTGTTCAATTCATTATTCAATATTCGGTGTATGGTGTTCAAAATTTATCTTATCTTTTCCGTTGCCCGGAATAAAAATTCTGAATCGCAGCAGTACATTATCAGGTAGGCAATCTACCTGCGGTAGATTGCGGACACCGTGCTGTTTGTACGGAAGTGTATGATTTAACTCTAAAGTATCAAAGTTATACCAAGTTTATTTTGATATAATACTGTGGATTAATATAACAAAATTTGGTTGCTCGTAAAAAATCGCAACTCTTAAAAAAATTATGATTGTTGAACTCCTTTTGGGTGTAACTTTCTGCGGTAAGTGCAACTCAGCCATCCTGGTAGGCAATGTTCAATAATTCGATTTGATGCAAGCTTGTACCTGATCTGCCCGAATAACCAATGGCAACCAATAAATAAATGCTAATTTCTAATGTAGACTGTAACCAATGGCAACTATAAATAAATAAAAATAAAATTTCCAATTTCTATCGTGAATCTCAATGTCCCTGTTTCAGCACCTATTTAAAATGCGAATTTTGGCAAATCCTTTCTTAGCGCACGTCTACATCATAATAGCTATCTGTATGCCAAATTTCAGCCAGATCCGTCCAATGGTTTGAGCTATGCGTTAATTCACTCATTTTAATACCAATATTGTATATTTAAATTAAATATTGCTTGATAGATGGCGCCACTATCATATTCTTTCAACCCCACTTTTACCCCCTTGTAGGTCGAATTTTCAAAAATCCTTTCTTAGTGCGCCCTTACATTGCTTAAGGAACTTCTGTACAAAATTTCAAGTCTCTAGACCCAGCAGTTCCGGCTAGGCGATGATGAATCACCCAGGACAAGTCTTTTTATATATACAGATATATATATATATATTATAATCCTAATATATAAAATGACAAGGAAATCAGCTGTCTAT